GAGTAGACATAGAATTTAACTCTGTATGCTGACAGTGTCAAATGTCAGTGTGATTAAGTGCTGATTTCCATGTCACACTGTTTATAGCTATAATCTCCCTCTTCCTCATAAATATAGAAAATCTTAAGCAATTATATATATATATATATATATATATATATATATATATATATATATATATGTGTGTGTGTGTGTGTGTGTGTGTTGGCTGCTTTCTCGTATACGAGAATAACCATCATGCCATACATAAATACAACTAAATATTTACATGTAATCATTTGCTGTTGGTTTTGCGTGCAGAGATTTTCACATTTTCACATACATCTTCATAACTAAAGAAATGCGCATATTGACTGTGCATATATGTCTTTGTGTATCAGTTGATTTGCTTGTTTTTATATTCTAATGGACTAATTAAGAATATATTAATATAAATGTATGTGGAGCATTCTAGCAAGTATCTTAAATAGACACCATAAAATGTAATATGTAGTAATATATCAATATATGTAAGTGCATGTCTCGTCTACGTATGTATGTCTACATGTTTTTATATATGAGCTACGTTTAAATCATTACATATGTATAGATTAGTTCAGATGCATAGATTTTAATGAAAATGTATACCTGTAAATTGGTTATGTGTAAATAATTGAAAATGTATATCTTTGTACGTGTTTATGTGCGTATTTACGTATAGATGTGAAGGCGTGCTAATGCATTGTACATTCTTTCATTTAGAAGGTAATCACGACACGTCTTTGTGCTACAGGATCAGCTTTTTCGTCTGGGATACTATTTTTCAGGTGACATCTTAACACACGTGATTATTTGAAATCTGTGTTTATTTTTTATGTTTATTTCTTTGTCTCAAAGAAAGCGTTGTTCAAATTGAGTTGACAGTTAAGCTTTAATCTTAAATAAAAGGGAAAACTAGTGACGAAGAAGAGGGATGAAGTGATTTGGGTGGACTCAAAGAAAGAAAAATAAGTGCAACATACACAGAAGATGTCTATACACTTAACATAAAACAAAACAAAGATTCAGAATGAATAAAAACGTAATTCTAGTGAAATTAATACGAAAGTGAAAGTAAAAGTAGAAGAAGTTCAGCGATATGAGCCTTAAGAAGTAGACTGAGTGTCGTAGAAAACACATTCATAGTGACGACTGAACTTGACTCACCCCAGGTGGACAACTTACCGACGGATTCCATGATTAATTCCCTGTCTCCATCCATCACTATAGCACTCGCTTGATCGATGCGCTTTTTCCTCGTTGTCTTAAGTCCTTTGAAACGCGTCGTTTTTGGTATGGTTGTTGCTTCTACTGTTGTGGCTGTTGCTGTTGCTGCGGCTGTAGCTGGCTGTTTTGGATTCTCCAAAATATGAAAAAAATTTAATTCCTTATTTCTTACTTGAGAATCTTTTCAATACTTTTCTTGTATTTTTATATTTATTCTACTTGAATATTTAGGTTCGTTTTTCTTTCTAAATCTACTTTCAAGTGATATGTATTTTTGTTTTCTTATTTTCCTGGTTTCTTAATATCTCAGTTTTCTTCTTCGTGACTGATTTCACCCCTTGTGTGGTCTCCCTTCCTTTATGCCAGTTCTTTCATAACTTTCCTATGTCAATTATCAAACCTTGCATGGTAGGTAGATACAGAAAATTCCTGCAAGGAAACTATCACTTATGTAATTACTTCCTAGCAAATAAACATATTTATTCAGCCTGTGTGTACTTATTTCTATCTTATGTCAATTTATTGCATATGTAAGTACTGTATTATGTTGCTCTAAAGATGTTTGTATAAATCTGTGCAGAAATTTCAAAAGCTCTTAATAAATTATTTGCTGTCTTTTCTGTATTTGCATGTTTTACTACGATTTACATGCATTTTTAGAAATACTGAAATATACAGACTCTTTTCTTTGCATACCTATATATGTACGTATATTTTCATAAACTAATCACACATACATATATATCTACCTTCGTATGCTTCGGAGATTATGTGAAGACAATTTAACAGACCGTGTTTGAGTTTAATTTTTTTCACTTTTTATTTTGTTTTCTTTGCATGGATAATGGTTATATTTTTTTAGCGACTGAGAATGAAAGGCAACAACTTTGCGCCCACCCGCTCGCACATGTAACCCCACGCACTTGAACAGCACTTGTGTCTTAACCCTCGACACTCCTAGTCAACAGCAACAAAAACAGCTACAACAGTTAGCAGCAACGACAATGCCAAATGTATCGGATAAACAACGAGACAAAGTTTTCACTATCAGCAGCTATATTTCAATAAAAAAGATCAAGCCTGAAACATAGATCAAGCAATTATGCGTGGGTATCCATGGGCGTACGTGAGAGCGCACGTGTCATTTCTTTATTTACCTACCTCACCTTTAAGCGAGTTTTTACTACTCAAAAATAAGATAAACTATTTCTAAAAAAATGTCATTGGTTCTTAGCAAGTACCTTTCGTAATCTTATACATGTGCTTAGGGTGAGGAATGTTACTGAAGGTATACGTGTTTCTATATCGCCGTAAATATTATCCAAAATTATTTGTTCGTAGATATCCACCTGTTCGAATAGTAAAGAAAAGGCTAAAGAAAGGGAGACCTATTTTACACACATGTGTCAGGATTCTTTTCAAAAATAAACACGAAGTCCCACTGAACAAAACCGAAAACTGTACGTCCGACAAGTCAAGCGATGTTATGAGGTATACGTTACTTTACTGAGGCGTTCGTGTGTTGTTGCGGTGGCAGTTCTCGTAATAGTTGTGGTAGTAGTAGTTGTAATAATAGACGTAGTAGTAATTGGGGAACGGGCAGAAGGGAGAGTAGATAAACAAGAAGAAGAAGAAGAAGAAGAAGAAGAAGAAGAAGAAGAGGGGGTGGAGTTCCAGTTAAGAAAAAGGTTGCAGAATTTTTTGTTGGGAGGAGGCTTTTCAGTCGATAGTTGTCAGCAGAGACTTCGATGCATCGAAGAAAGAAAGAAAACAAGAAAGAAAGAAAGAATTTAGTATTACAGGGTTTTTGAGAGACAAAAAGAACACCAGACGTGTGGCAACAATAAGAACGTTGTCGGAAACTGCTGACAGTGAAGTGACAGAAGTAAATGGAGGAGAAAAGCAGAAAAGTAAGTAGATAAAAAGGAAATGGTAAGAAAATAGAAGATGGAAAAGATGAAAATAAAAAGAAAGAAAGAAAGAGAAAAAGAAAGAGTACAAAAATGAGGGGGGTGGGATAAACGAAGAATGGAAGTAAGAACGGAGATCAGGAATAACAAGAGAAAGAAGTGGGAAATAAAAATGAAAATAAGAGAGGATAAAAAATAATGTAAGAAGACAAAACAATGAAATGGATACTTTTAGGAAAATGTCTTTTTTTTTTCAGGAATAACTAGAATGAGAATCAATAAGGCAATAAATATAAGTTTGAAAGTGAAAATGAAAGCGAACGAGAAAGGAGGAGAAAATAATCTTCGGTTTCTATCATCCTGTTCGTAGCGTCTTTCTTGTGCGTGTATAGCAGCAGTGACAAGGCAATGAACGATTTGAATGTGGCGGGGATAGGAATGGGGTTGATAATGAAGTGACACGGGTGGGACTGTGATGCTAAAACACGGAAAGAGAAAAAAAAACTTTAAAAAACGGGTTGGGGAGGGACAAGTATCAGCTGAGAATAATGGAAGAGGATGTGAAGGAGAGAGAGCACTGAAACGGGAAAATGTGGGAGATTTGTTCTCTTGCATTTTGTATGAAGAATTAGGATATATAGCTACATATTAGAACACATACGTATATATATATATATATATATATATATATCGTGTGATAGGTAAATTGTTGGCATTTTATATTTTTAATTTCGCGCACACGCATTGTTTGTTTTTGATTTTGTCGACTGTACAGTATACTAGTGTCAGTTGGGCACCATCTGTGACAAAAAGACCATCATGACGCAATTCACTCCGACAGAAATTTGGAAAGGACATGCTGCATTGCTTGGCATTGGCGCCGGAAGCTCCAATACGAACATTTCAGAGTGTTTAGGTGTCAATCTGAAGACAGTGCAGAGGATTCGGAAAGAGTTGGATGAGTCTAATGGTGATTACGAAGGTGTTTGTAGTGATGACAAGTGATGGCAACATTATGCCTTAATTCAGCTTCCTACAGGTCCTCAGACTCAAGACAGAGCCCTACATTAGGTGCCTTGAAGGGGTAGTGCTACCCTTAATTAAGTGGGTGGATGCTGGAAGACCCTATGTCTGGCAACATGATTCTGCACTATGCTACACAAGCAGGAGAACCCAGTCATGGCAGTCAGACAATTTCTGTGACCACATCACCCCTTACATCTGGCCATCTAACTCCCCAGACTACAACACCCTTAATTATGAATCCACTAATCCCACTACATACATTGGGTTTACTACAACCACACTCTCCCGTAGACTTACCGGTCACCTTTCTGATTGTAGTTCCATTAAACAATATTTCTTAGAAAAACATAGCTATGTACATAATATTAGATAGATATTAGTTGATAACACAACAATACCCAGACATGCACACAGTAAAATGATCCTTAAGATCTTAGAGGCCATATACATTAAAACAAAGCAACCCACACTCAACAAAATTACATTTCAAACCAGTTACAACAATGTATTTAAACACATGGTTCTGTTGATAACATTTCTTTCTCTCACATGGTCATTTACGACGTCATAGAACCGCATTACGAATTTACGTCCTGCGGCTGCTATTTTGCGATCGTTAACGTCGCACAGAAAACTTCTATGTAAATATAACAGGATGTCATCCTTGATGGTGAACATGCCTGTTGTAATGTCCATATAACCACTTCTGATGATGGGTCATGTGAGCATATGATAGCATAGATCGATGAACAGCACAATAAAAATATAACCAAATGTTGGACAGTTTTTGCCTTTATTTTCTCTCGAAACTAAAATCACTATACGGCTCATGATCAAACATAATTCGTTGTCTGTTATATTTAACAATATATGTTTGAGTAATTATCTGCTGCCCCCTATACAATATATATATATATATATATATATATATATATATATATATAAGAGGAGGTAATGCATATTTATGTCCACAAAACTGACCAAATGACCAAATCTTAGCTTTTGAGGAAAAGGCCTTTTCTTTGCGTCGAAAGGTTTTTAGCAACTCACATATTTCTCTAGAGGAAGCGACCTAGTTTTATATATATATATATATATATATATATATATATATATATATATATATATATATATATATATATATATATGTATGTATATGTCTGTGTGTGTGTGCCTATTTGTGTGTGTGTGCTGCATTTATACATTTGTAAAATATAAATGTAGTTGTATGTAGATGTACGAGGATATATGTATAGATAAAAATATTTATTTTAGTATTGATCAATGATTGCTAAAGATATAGATGTAAACAAACTGCGGAAACAGGACATGTACACGCATAAACACACGCATGTATTTATATGTTCTTATGCACACACACATGTATATGTGTTTATGTTTTCCTATACACACACATGTGTGTTCGTGTAGAAGGAAGAAAGAAAAGAGGAAGCAAAAAGAATATTAGATAATCTGACCTTTGGTTCTATTGACAAACGAAGACGTTATATTTTGAGCGTTTAACTTTTTCTTTGAATAATATCTGAATAAAAATGAAGTGCTGTACCACATTCCTAATAATAAGTGAATAGAGAAGAAATTAAATAAAAGTTTAGTATCTCCGAGTAAAAATCTTTACACAATTTAAATAAAGGTGTTCCATTTTAATAAATTTTATACTAAACATCAGATATGTAAAAAGTGGGAAACGTAAAAAATAATCTTTTATCTTTTCACATTTCTCTTTCTCATACTTTATAATGTCTTCATTCTTTCAATGTTGCGTTCAGTTAATGGAAGCTTCATATGCCAGATTCGAGTTCAGACGATCGTCTTTCCCTCGAGTGATAAACTCTCGTACTCTTTTAGGAATGTCAGTTCAAATTAGCGAACAAGATTAATAGCAACATTCTATGAATCAGTGTAGCTCAAATCTTCTCTACCCATTTCTATTAGTGCAGTAAACTCCTTATTCGGGTTTATTTTAATCCGTTTCTCCATTACTCACAAAAAACTTCCAATATTATCTCCCTTCTGTTTTATTTCTTCCCTCCCCAGCCTGATCTAATATCCCGTCTCATTTTTCCCGCCTTTTTCATCTCATTTGGTCTTTTCTGCTGTCGTGACTTCGGGAATCCTCTTCCATTTACCTGTATCATAGCTCTTCTTTCTAGTATTGCATCGTAAACGTTGTCTTTTTTCTTTTCCCTTTTTTATCACTACAATATTGAGCCTATTTTTTTTTCTTAATGATTTTTGACATACTAAGTGCTTTTATTTTTCGTTCATTTTCAAAAGGTATATATATATACTGAAGATGACTTAGTACAGTACAAGGCCACGTGAGAGGGTGAACTATTGTATTAAATTAATGTTCCAGTTGATATAGGGTGGTGATATGTTTAAAAAATCCGCAGTTGAAACCCTGTGTTTATCTCGACTTGAACACTGTCATTATTGACGTTTTACGACTTAAGCGAAATATCTTTAATAGAATTTAATTGTTAAAGATAACACTCTTTTTATCAAAAATGATAGAGAAAAACTGGTTTCAAATGATTTTAAAGCAACTATTTTAATGAACTTATTCAATTGATCATCCATAACTTTTTGTTTCTTGACTCATGCATATATTAATTTTACTTGTAAAAAACAAATTGATTGCAAAATAAGAGTGTGCAAAAGAAACCATGCAGTTTTAATCAAATTACACAACTGCTGGATTTGTAATTCATATTTACCACCAACTTTTACTGCTTTTTTATTAATTTCTATTTGTTTTTGTTTTGTTCAATATTCATTCACCTACTTTATGAATTATTAACTACTTTGGTATATCTTTAATAATTCTGTCAATATTCTATTTTTTCCTTACAAGTCTACTTCTTTTTATATCCTTTTAATATAGGAACATTAACAGAAATTTTAATCTATGTTTCTGCTTTAATATTGCGTTTAAGTGTTCTTCATTTGTTTCTTTTCAGTTACATTCTACTTCTTTTTTTAGCCTCTCTTCATATTTCTAATTCATTTATTTTATTTTATTTTTATTTTGTATTTTTTGTTACTTTCATCCTCTTTTATCCATCACCCAAACCATCTTTATCTTCATTTAAATCTTTTCCTTCCTTTTCGTCGATTTCTTTAATGTTTCATTCATCATCATCATCATCATCATCATCATCATCATCAGCAGCAGCAGCATAATTACCATCATTATCATTGTCGTCGTCATGCAAAATGCTTACAACTTTTTCTCTTAGACCACTAATTCTTTTTAAGCATATCTTTCTTCTCAAACGTACAATCACCCATGTTTAATGATTTTCCTCCTCTCTCTTTCTTCTTAATGTCTTTACTGTTTCCATCTTTACTTTACCACGTGTTGTTCTCTTTTTTTCTCTTAGATTTCACTTTTCTCAACTTTTCTCACTATTTTTCTTGTCTAACATTTTCTCCCTATTTCTTTTTCTTAGCTCAGTTTTTACGGCCATTCATTTCATCCTCTTCTCTTCTTTACGATTTCCACTCTTTTATTCTTTTGACTCTCTTTTACACTTTTTCTTTGTCTATCTGATTTTACTTGCCTCTCTTTTTTCTTGTCTGTACCATTCTCCTTTTACCTAACTTTATTACTTTCATGGTTTTTTTTTTCAAACTTTGCTATCATTTTTATTTAATTCTTACAAGTGTTTTCTTTTAAGCATTATAACTTTTTCTGTTCTTATTCCGTTTGTCCTCATCTATCTGTATTTTTTTCTTTCTTTCTCCCTTTGATCTTTCATGGAGCAATCCATCTCTCACTGTAACCTTTGAGTTTTTACTTCTTTTTCTTAGTCTCCCTTTGTCTTATTTATATTATCATTTTTATTTCGTTTTTCCCGCTTCTTTTCACCTTCTTTTTTCCAATATTTTATTTTCCTCTTTTCTTAGTTTTTTATTTATTTTCATTTGATTACCTTTCTCTTTTCCTTAATTCATTTTCTTTTATACTTTTCCTTTTGAATCGTTATTACTTCCTCTTCTTTTTATTAGCTTGCACTAGTTTCTACATATTCATCTCACTTTAATTCTTTTATTCTCCTATCCTCACCTCTGCAGATATGTCTGTCTGTTTGTCCCCATTCCCTTGCTATCAACACCCACCCAATCTTTCATGAATTCAACGCCATTCTCTTACTGACCTTATTTTCTCTTAATCTCCTGAAGAATCCAAGACGAATAGTAAGAACATCCTTTAATATTTCTTCAATAACGTGCCTGCTTTAGCAATATCACGATTAATCACAAGGCCATTACTACTGCTGCTTCTATTATCATTGCTTCCATCAAGACCATTAGTTCGGCCACAACTTGTATCAATCAGTTATTGCCATCGTTAACAAAGTTGACCAATAGCATCCCTCATTCTAATTGTCACCCTCGTTAACATTATCAGATTTTGCGTTTATATTCACTATTAATAATAATAATAATAATAATAATAATAATTGTAAATTTCACTTTCATAAAAATTATTTTCCACATGTAATAATTTCTCAGTATTAGTATTCTCAAAAATATTAACATTAATATATTCATTAATAACA